GCCCTGTTATTCCTTTTAATAAATGAAAAAAAACCTGCATTTTGCAGTTAGTTAGTTTGCAGTTTGTTAGTGGTTTTTTTTATTTTTTATTCTCACGGTCAAGAACTGTAATCAGACAGTTGATAAGGGATCAGTAATTTTACAATATCACTGAATGTGCCATGAATTTATTGTGAAAACCTAAGATTCAATTTAAATATCACAATTCATATTAAACACATGTAAATGTAGCATTTTCAATCATTTATACTTTTTGTTTATCATAGTTTTCACATTTTTATTTAGTAATCCGGGGCAAGATAAGAGAACATCCTACTCAGGCAGGACACATCATCTAAATCAGGTAAGAAAACAAGAAAACACAAGATGTGAAAAAAAATATTTACCCCTCCATCAGTTTTTGTTTTTTTGTCGCAGTTAAACTTTTCAGGCCATCAAAACCTACACAAACCAACCTGGTCACCAAGCACCAGGTGACTGAGTTTACATTTCATAGAAAGCTCGGTTAAATTTCAGACAAGCCTGGAGACTGACAGACCTGTAGAATCAAGACAAAACTACATAAGTAGGACTTTAGGTAAAACGTACCTGATTTGAGCAGGTGTTCCCTGTGGTGTTTCAGATGCTCCTCAGCCTGAGCACACAGGCTATCCACAGTGTTCTCCTCTTGTGCCATTTGGAGGTTTTTCTCCCAGTTACGCACCTGTAGAAAACAAACGACGCAGGCTAAGCCGTCAACGCTAAAAACCAAGCAGAGTTACACAAGGAACCGATGATGGTGACTTTGATCCAGCATGTGGATGTAAGGAATGTGGATGGTCCATCCATCCATTTTCTGAACACCCTTGTCCCTCAGTGGGGTCGGGAGGGGTGCCGGTGCCTATCTCCAGCTAACGTTCTGGGCGAGAGCCGGGGTACATCCTGGACAGGTCGCCAGTCTGTCGCAGGGCAACACAGACACACAACCATGCACACACACACACACCTAGGGGCAATTTAGACAGACCAATTAACCTAACAGTCATGTTTTTTGGACTGTGGGAGGAAACCGGAGTACCCGGAGAAAACCCACGCATGCACAGGGAGAACATGCAAACTCCATGCAGAAAGACCGGGAATCGAACCCAGAACCTTCTTGCTGCACGGCAACAGCTCTACCAACTGCGCCACTGTGCAGCCCGTGGTAAAGGTCATCTATAAAAATCACAAACTTTGTGGGGACAGTTTGGGGATGACCACTTCCTGTTCTATTACGACTATCGGTGCACAAAGCAGGGACAAAGCAGCGGACAGCGGACCGTCTTGAGGATGAATTAGACACTGCAAACCTCACCTTCCTGTCCAGCGTCAGTGTCTGACCTCACAAATGGATGAATGGTTAAATTATTCAAGCAGTAAAACTCCAGACTATAAATATACATTTCAGTGAAATCTGTGGAGTGTAAACAAGAAAGCAAGAGATAATTACCGTACAAACATGCTTTGTCTCTATCTCCAAACCTGCAGGTGTTGCAAAGTGCTCCTTATACCACTTGGTCTCTATGACGTCCTGGAAGAGCAGGCACTGATTTTACTAATATTGAAGACTGACAAAAACATCACGGCAGACTCAAACATTTAAAGACGTAGACATCAACAACTCATTTCAGAGCCGCACACAGCAAATGTTGCTTTAGCATTGAGAAGCTGTCAGAGGAACTCTGACTTGTAAATAAAGGATGAGCAAGAGTCAAGGTCGGCAACAACCGCGGAACTCTGCTTCATCTTTCATCTTAACCTTTGCATCCAGCTCCCCGGTGGGTTTGTGTGGACAGTCCAGGGCGTGCGACCCGAGCTCTGATAACTGCATCACGCTGTCACATCCTATCAAGGCAACATAAAAACATAAAATGCGAAAATAAACCACAGAAACTGGAAGTTGTAGACACAACTCTAGGGGTGTGTGTAAACCTTTTACTTAACTTTACAGAATTAACTTGCGTCAGTATAAGTAACCGGGTGCTACGCGTTTAGTTAAGTAATAATATCCCTTTTATTAGCGCAAACTAATCTTTGCCTGCACTACCACCAGGAAACATGATATCATAGGTTGGGTGAAGAGAAGTTAGAGAGAGCACATAGCACATCAATAATGCCATTATTCAAGCACCTGTAACAAGTAGAGCTTCTCTCCAGAGTGGAATAAGAACATCAATCTTTAAGGATTCAAGAAGTGACAGACAATACTTTCTTTAGCATATTTACTGTTCCTAAAAGTCCCTACTGTGAAGTTCTTCTTTACTGTTGCTCAAACCTTATTCAGCCGCAGGTTTAAATAAATCTTTTTATGGAATTTGAGGCTTCAAAGTTGTACCTCGGTAACGAAAGAAGCAGTGGATCGGAGCTGCTGACATCGTTTTGTCAAGGTCCAGTTCAGAGACCTTCCAGCCGTCTCCCAGAACGGAACCGGTAAACGGGTCGACCTTTGACCGTCGGGCCAGCATCTCGATGTAAGGTCTTGAGAAGATGCTCTTCGGTTCACTGCAAAGTAGTGTGACAATCACCTGTAAGTATTAATATTTGGATGCATGGCCTGCTTTGTGTAGCTCCTAATTTAATTTTGGCTGGATTTTTAGTTGGACTTTTTGCTAGAATTGGTAGAGATCATTGCATGGCCCATAGATTTTCAATAATTGGAGCTAATGGGTTTGGGGAACTGCGATGGACTGTCCAGAGGCACCAGCATCCCTACCGACCCCAATGGGATAAGGGTGTAAGAAAATGGATGGATGGATGGATGGATGGATGGATGGATGGATGGATGGATAGTTGGTTGGTTGGTTGGTTGGTTGGTTGGTTGGGCAATGATTGAGATATTTTGGCCTCAGTAACAAGATGAAATGTTTGGATGAGTCAAGATGAGGCTTTTAGACTCTAAAACATTAGACCTTCGACATAGCACAAAAAAGTTTTTTCTTTGACGTAACAATAATTCTTGGCAATAATTGAAAGCCTTGTTTGTTTCCACTAAGTGGTGCTACGTTTGTAACAAAAATGATTTTGTGGCTGAGTTGAGTATTTGGGTTTTGCTGGATTTTGAGGGAAATCCTCTTTATCAAAGTAAAACTGCTTTTGGTGAAGTTAGTGAGATGGTGTGGCGGAGCATCTCCCACACTGGAAAAACAGGGCGAAAATCTAAAATGAATTAAACTCCTGCTTATAAAATTCAGATACATTTTAAGGGCCACCTCAGCTCACTTTTGCACTGATAGCAAATGAAGCACTTCTTTGTGAAAATTTTCTGAATGAATGAAACTCGTATCTGGCTCAGGTCTCACCTCTGGTGGACAGACACAGGTCTGTACAGAGCGCTGAGGGACACGGGGCATTCATATTCCACCTGATGCTTCCCCTCAGAGAAGGTCACAGCCACGGGAATCAGCTCCCGCGTCACACACACGGTGTACGCCTGCAAAAGTGAGACGGCCATTATTTAATGATAAACACAGCAGAGCCTCATGAAACTTTAATGGCCCTAACAAAGTACACCCAGAAATTTAGCTTATGTTTTCTTATTTTTTAATGGGGAGCAACTTCAAAAGGAGGGAGACTTTAAATTGAACAGATTTTTTTAAAGTATGATTTAGGGGTTCATAAGGTAAATGGCAGCAATTTGAAAATAAATATACACTGACACCAGTATACTAACTGCACATTAGATATTGAACGATCTACAAAAACACTTTTGTACCTGCGTAACACTGCCATCTGCTGAGCAGACAGAGATCTCCACCAAGGTGTCTCCAAAATGTAGTAAGACAGTTTGAGAGTCGCTATTACCATTTACTGCAACTTTAATAAGGCTGTCTGGAACCTTGGTTTGAACTGTCACTAAATTACAGTGAAATGGGACAAAACCTGCAGGAAAATAAACCAGGACAGTTAGTTTTACAGTGAAATAGAAATAAACAAATAATAATAATAATAATAATAATAATAGTACGCTACTTTTTAGTTATTTTATGAATGAATCTGGACACAAATTAAAATGAAGGAACATACAGCAGGTCTGATGACAATAATAAAGTTTCTACTCACTGCTGTATTCGTGGACTTTGGTAGCAAAAGCTGGGTGAAGTGGAATATCCCCTTCCAGAGAAAGTTCACTGAGCTCCGCGACCTTTGCTGACAGCTTAGTGATGTCCAAACTGTATTTCTTCACTGTCCCATCTTCGGCAACCACTTCGATTTCCACTCTGTTTATCCCCTCCTTCAGTTTAACAGTGCTGGAACGATCACCAGTCAGCTGCAACACAAGAAACCCCAAAACTAAAATAGAAAGAATTGTCTTTAAGAATAATAGTACTGATAATAATAATAATAATAATAATAATAATAATAATAATAATAATAATAATAATAATAATAATAAATGAATTTAAGTTTGTTTAGAGTAACACTCACAATGCTGTATGATGCTTCACAATCACTGGTGCTCAGGCCCAGAGTTACTTCGTTGACACTGCTCTCCACTGTCACTTTGTAGTCTGTAACCTGTGGTGAGAAGGCTGGCTGGAGCTTCCCAACAGAGATAGTGAGCTTCTCCAAATCACAGTTGTCCATGGCTCAATCCTTCTCTGTCTATGAGGACTGTAACGACGGCAAAACTATGGCTCTTCTCTTTTACACATAATGACGTTCCTGGTTGCCAAGGCAACCGCAGCACCTCTGTCAGGTTTACCAAATATATCTTCTTCGAAAACGACTGTCTTCTTTCACTCACCTTGCCGGAACTTTTTTCCTTGAATGAGATTCTTGAATGAAATCTTATAAATAAATTTAATTTAATTACTAAAGTAAAGTTAGCCAAATGGCTAAATGCTTTAGAGTGGCTGGAAAACGCGAAGCAAGAATACAGCTACCAGCTAATAAGTCTAATAATAACCACTTAAGCTAATGTAAATAACGTAGTTGCAAAAAAAAAAAAAAGTGTAAAGCAGCGATTAAAACAGCGACTCTCCCAAACGTCAGGGGGCAGTAAAGAAAGTAAAACCGGTTATACGTTCTTATTCACTTCCTGTTCGAAGGTTAAAACGTGAAGCATCTTGAAAAGGTAAATACAACACTTTCTGTAATGCACCAATAACCACCAATAGACTCCGTTTACATTTAGCTGTTGTAATACTTTTTCTTTTTTCTACTTTGTTTTTTTTTATTATTATTAAAACGTGTATCCCCCTTTAGCTGCGTCTGGTAACTAGCAACGTAGCTAGCCGGAACAGAGCATTGCTTCCTGTCTGTTAAAGTTACTTTATAGAGCTACAGCTGGGATTTCTGAACGTTTAGGGACTTGTTAATTTGTAGAAAAATGGCCGAGGGAGCAGCAACCGAGGACTACCCGCAGGAGATAGACGAACAGCTGACCACGTTCGATTCCTCGGTGAATGCGGTGAAAACCATGCTGGAGAAGCTGATGTCCATGTCCAGAAACGACCTGATGCAGAAGGTGACGCTTGTTGCTTCTTTGTTGAGACGAAAAACACAGTACAACGCATAAACTCTGAGCTAGTTTTTAAATCTGTTGAATTTAGCACTTCAAGCTTTGAGATAAACATTGTAACCTCTGCAATGTCGATGTACGAAAATTACATTTTAGCTGAAAATTCCCTGAGTCTGACTTCTTTCTGTATGTGCACGTTTTTTGGGTGAAATAACTATAATGACTGTTATAAAATCATCATTGCAGCTGGATCCTTTGGAGCAAGCCAAGCTGGACCTGATGTCTGTCTATACTCTTAATTCATTGTTCTGGAGTAAGTTATTCATTCATTTATATTGATAAATGTATTCATCATGATGTTGACTTGATAAATGCAAAACTAATGGCCTGTTTTGATTGAATATACATGTAAAAATAGCCCATTATATCTATGAAATATGAAGGGGAGGCTAAATAGCAATAACACACACACACACACACACACACATATATATATATATATATATATATATATATATATATATATATATATTTAAACACATATAAGAAACAGTGTTAACTTTCATAATTGTTTGCAGTGTATCTGGTGACAAAGGGAATAAACCCAAGAGAACATGGAATCAAGCAGGAGCTGGTATGTGCATCCTTTAACATTTTTAATATTTTCTCTGTATCCATGGCGATCTTCTCATCACAGTCCTTCTGTTTTCATTAGGAGCGCATAAGGACTTACATGAACAGAGTCAAAGAGATCACCGACAAGAAGAAAGCTGCGCGGCTAGACAAGGGAGCCGCTTCGCGTTTCTTGAGGAACGCCCTTTTTGATCCCGACGACAAAGAGTTAAAAAAAGCTGCACCCAAGAAGCCAGCGGATGCGCCCTCTGAAGCTCCTCAGAGAAAACGCCCCAAACAGAGCTGAGCCTGAGGAAGAGCCGCTTAGTCTGCTCTCATCGTGTGATTTTCCTGAAGGATACAGAAGCAAATGATCAAACTGCTAAGATGAAGTCGAGAGATGGCAAATATTTGTCTCACTTTAGTGGAGTTCGTTTGGAATTCATCTCTTGGATGTCAATCGTCTAATCTTTACCAGCTGTTTTAGAGATAAACAAAATGCTAATTCATCTGCTCGGCTTGTCGAGTTGTGCTGCTGTTGAGATGTTACTTTAGATCTCTTTGGTTACTATGGACAGCTTCTCTTTAGTTTGAAGTGAATTCTATGAACACACTTCAAATATATGTATATTTTTTTAATTCTTCTGTTCATTGTTGGTTGTTTTTTATTCATTAATTATTTTTCCTGTATTGGTTAAAATAATTTTTCTTTTCCTTCATGTGATCTGAAGAGACGAACTCTTTTAAAAAAGATTTGTCATTGTGTTTCGGGTGCTTGTGTTGTGCTTTTTGCCCCACATGTTTATTCATTTCTGAAATCTCCAAATAATACAAGAAAATAATGTAATTCAATCAGATCAAGTGTTTGTAATTACTTTAAGGTTTTCGTATTTTATATTTAGGGCAAGCAGTTTCCTGTCAGTGGCAACATGAATGCCTTAAAGATGATTTTACAACATACAGTTGAGCCCCAAACTATTCATATTGCATCCAAATAAGAATTTAATGCATATTGCTTTAATGTCACCAATATGTTCCTCTTAGCCTTTATAACTTTGTAGTTGTTCAGCCTGAATTTGATGGTAACCTGTAGAGGGAGCTAAAGATTAGAGTGATGACAAAGAGGCCTTCTGGTCTCAAACACTTGGAGCTCAGTGCAAAACATAAAATTATAGGGGGAAAAAAGAGAACATGCTAAAAGCTAGTAAGCGATTCCACAAGTGGTTTGATTCTTGTTAGCGGTTTTCAGCTAATACCCGAGAAGTTTTTTTAGTTTTTCAAAATTATACTCCATTGTTTTCTAATGAGTAATTGCAGGGAAATATTGGAAAATTGTGAAGTATATTGATTATGATTAGTGCACATTTTCCTCTTTCTTTGTTACACACACGCTCTCTTAAACCTTTTGGTGAGATGTCTCAGATGTTCCAATTCAACAAATGCATTATTTATGTGAAGAGCGTAACATTTGAAATGCAGCGCATTAAAAAGTTGATTGCAACACTGCACACACTGATAGACAATTATGACTCAATATACTGAGCATATCTAGTATGCTGATTTACTTAGTACACTAGATAATAAATTAGTATATTAATTTACTATCTCCATTCCTCGCAACTGTGCTGAAGTTCTGTTCTATTTTAATGTAATTTTTCAGAACCTGTATTTTAAGATGTAATAGTTCAAGGGATGTTAGACGTTTGCCATTATACTGTGGCTATATTTAGC